AGTAATGTTAAGATCCATGAGGATACYAATGGCAATATCTACTGTATGGGAGTAACACTAAAGTCTGTTAAATCAGGACTAGATGTAAGTATATAGTACAACAATCGTTTAAATTCAGAATATTTGCTATTTGAATACCAGGGTTATCTATAAAGTACACTGCAAAACAAACAAAAAAAGTACTCYACATATCACAGGAGTCTTTTCATATGGTTGTACAAATTAAACATAATTAAATATTATTACCCAGATTATAACAGTTGCATTAACAAGTTGATTGAATTGTTTTTAGACGTTAAACTGCTTACAACAAGGTGCTTTGTCAAGAACCACAGCCAGTACAAACATGAACACACATTCTTCAAGATCACATGCTATTTTTACACTACATGTCAAGCAGCAACGTGTCGTCAAGGTGATTATAACTATAACTACTATCATCGTCATTATCATTGTCATCATCATCATTATCATCGTCATTATCATTATCATCGTCATCATTATGATCATCATCATCATTATCATCATTATTATCATCATCGTCATCATCTTCATTATCGTCATCATCATTATCGTCATCATCATCATAATTTAACTAATCAAAGCCCTTATAATTATTAGACATCAGAAAATGTAACACAAGGGACTAACAACTATGAATACGAAATGCTGACGGCAAAGTTTAACTTTGTGGACTTAGCGGGATCTGAAAGATTAAAACGCACTGGTGCTACAGGAGATAGAGCGAAAGAAGGAATATCGATTAATTGCGGATTAGTAAGTATTGATTAATGTAATATGCTCTGAAATTCATGCTACCTTTATTCTGTTCTACTTGACCTTTATTCTGTTCTAATTGACCTTTATTCTATTCTAATTGACCTTTATTCTATTCTAATTGACCTTTATTCTATTCTAATTGACCTTTATTCTATTCTAATTGACCTTTATTCTATTCTAATTGACCTTTATTCTATTCTAATTGACCTTTATTCTATTTTAATTGACCTTTATTCTATTCTAATTGACCTTTATTCTATTCTAATTGACCTTTATTCTATTCTATTTCTCAGCTTGCTTTAGGTAATGTTATAAGTGCTTTAGGAGATATAACCAAGAAAGGTACACATGTACCATATAGAGACTCCAAGCTAACACGACTATTACAGGACTCACTGGGCGGTAATAGTCAAACTCTCATGATAGCATGTATATCACCGTCTGATAGAGACTTCATGGAGACACTTAACACTTTGAAATATGCCAACCGAGCAAGAAATATTAAGAACAAGGTGAGTAGGTCTACAGGGGCTATAAATCTCACTGTAACTTGTTCATCAGGATCTCAAAGCAACTAAAGCAGAAGCTTGTGAAAGAGAGTGAGGAAACAGCGRCCATTTTTCCTTCAAAGTCTTTCTCCTTTTTATGCAAATAACAGGATTAAAAATACACTCTAGTTGTGTTCATGATAACAAATCTTCATCAAATGACTTTGTGCATTAATCCTAGTACCTGACTCTTTATGCTAGGTTTCTGTGAATCAAGACAAGGCTAGTAAACAGATTTCATTGCTCAGATCTGAGATCCAGAAGCTCACCATGGAGTTGGTAGAGTTTCGACAGGGAAAGCGAGTCTCTAATTGCGAAGGAGAGACTGATGTTGCCGTGGAAAATAACTTATTAAAATCYGAAAACGAAAAGTAAGTTGTATTTTTTCTTTTCTCTCATCCTCTCCACTTCACATCTTTCTTCTCAAAAGTGGCAGTCATATCCTCTTTCTGTTCATTCTGTCCCCCACTTCTTTCCTTCTCTCCTCCCTTCCTCCATTCCTCCCTCCCTTATTTCCTCAATTTTCTCTCCATTACTCAACAAGTACACAACCTTCTTGTCTTAGATTAAAGATACGTATAAAAGCGCTATCATCAACGGTTGAAACACAGTCATCAAGAATAACAGACTTAATGTCAGCACAGGCGATGGCAGGCTTAGAAGGAGGTAAGACGCAMAACCTGCTAATTTGACTCAAAATTGCATTTCTAATTTGGATGTATTATTCATTTCTCTCAACAGTTAAAGTCGATGGGGGTGTTGAGAATTTGATTCAAAATTATTTAGGAGAAATAGAAGAATTGAGGTATTGGTTTTATTAGAATATAATYAGTCATTATTAATCCATTCATTCATCCATTCAATTATTCGCTATTTCATTCATTCATTTTTTTTTTTCAATCTTATCTGATTATTTTAAGTTCAATGTATTTTTCCTCCCATTTGTTTCTTCATCCATTCATAATCCTAATCCTTCATTTCTTAACACTTTCACCATCTGATTCCCATGCCTCAAAATTCTTCCGTATGAAGACGTATGAATACCAGCTAATTTTCTTAGAAATGCTACATTCCTTTATTTTCTTTTGTCCATTAATCATTTTCACTATCAATTTTGTTCCCAGGAATAAGTTAACTCAGAGTGAAGTCATGGCAGCTTCCATCACCAGAAACCATGCCCTAAAGTCCAGGCTAAACTACCATTCAATGCCTCAAGACTCCTCTATATCAGTCATTCAGATGGCAAAGAGTGACCTTGCCAAACAGAAGCAAAGAGCTCAGGTTGTTATGCGTAAAAACCCTTTATCGCAGGTCAAATGTGTCAAACCAGTTAAGCCACGAAATAGTTATGATAATAGTTATAATACTGGTGCAATAACCCGGCCGAAATCAACAAGGTCGGCACTTATACAAGATAATAATGGTAGAGTTAAATTAGTGTCGCCAAAGCTACCATGGAATAATATCAATATTCCCTCTAAGATTGACACAGGTCGGAAAGGAGTACAAAGGTCAAAGTCAAGCTGTGGATCAGAGTCTAGGTACAGGGCTCGTAATAGAGCTCCTAATGTACCWGCATCATTGCCRAAGGCACCTGTACCTGATTCAAATAATGTAGTTAAACGTAGACAACCCAAGGGAATTGTGGGATGGGGACATCCAGTSAAGGATCAACCAATCAAAGATCACTCATCTCTAGGTTCACCAACATCACCCACRCAGCATACTACAACGATACAGGGCACTACGGTCGTATTACGACGTAAGCCTAAAACAACTAGTATGTATGGTACAATWAATGAGCGTAACTCTGCTAGTTTAAAGCGCAGATCACGTAGTGTAGATTCCTTCCTAGATACTAGTGCTAGYGAAGACTATGACCTAAGTCCTACACAATGCTTCAAATGTCAAAAAGACCTGAGCAAGGTTTCTTCATGCAGTCTTCGTTCAAGTAAGATATCAGACTACAGCTCTATGAGTGATTTTAATTGCTCAGAACATAGTATTGCCGAGAAAGATGAAAACAACAACACTACCAAGGAYACACGCACACCTGCMATGAAACTGAAGTTGAAGTCAAGTTTACGTCATTTGCGAAGTCCTATGCAAGATATCATGTCTGATACTGAGTTTTACTCACAGAGAAACTACGAAAGTGATGCTGCAACAGATGGAGAGTATAATGCATCTGATACAGAGTTCTACCGCACCAGAAAAGCCAAGGAACGAAGAAACCTTTGTCTAGACTCTCCTATGCCTGCACTAATGCAGAAAGAYGAAGAAGTGACTGCAAAGAGYATTGAACTTAGRAARGCACAGCTTCAACAAGACCTTGACTCGTTGCTGGACTCCATGGCGTATGTTCTAAGTAGTGCACAAGAGCTGGAACAGACAGGACAAGAACAAGACCCTTCGTAYAACAATCCYTCGGGYCTCTTTAGGCCGATCTTTGAAGTCAAGATATAACTAAACTTAGTGCAAACAAGTTGCCAGGGAAGATAGGTTCAGATAGGTCAAGCTCATGGATATAGTTGAGATTTGCTGAGCCAATAAATACCTGTATGTTAGTATATTGCAAGGTTATTGTACAGATTATATACTGAGATATAGTTGTAGCGCTGCTTAACTGTACATATATTTCTTAAATCATGGCAAACTGATGTCATTTCAGGCAGACAAAAACTCAAACTTTCAAACTTTATTTTCTCTGCTTCTTTTCCTTTTTCAGTTGCATTTTTTCTATTTTATTCTTTAAGTTTAATTCCTTATTTATACATCAGAGGAATTGTAGTATGTATTAATTTTATATGTTTTCAAATGCATACTATTTGAAATTACAAAAAAGTTAATATACCTCTACCTTAAACACTATAAACGCACTATAAGTAGTATTATCACCAATATAAACAAATATAGATAATATATAAATGATAATATATAATATATGTATACTATGCAGTATATTGTAACATATAAATTATACCTCAGTCTTAATAAAATGAGCTAAAAAAAGCTCATTTTAACCTTAAGTTTTCAGTATTTAAAACCTTTTCCTGGTTTATTTAAAAACAGATCAAAGCATATTAAATTGCTGTCAGTCAACCAATAGATGGGTAAGAATGTTAAGGCCTCGGGATAATGCAAGTGTGGGATTGAAATACCAATGTTTGAAGCACATATTTTGTTATTTAAATTCCAATATTCTGTATTTTATTAGAATTTATTCCGTTAAACACTGGTTGTTTAGTATTGTAATATTTGTACAAAAAATCAGAATTTTTTAKGTTCAAAGGCACAGGTGGCCAAAATGAATTATCAATGTTTCTATATTAGAAAGCTTTAGTAGGGTTGTWTTTATCATGTTAGAAGAGTTATAATAATAATTGATAAGAATTTTATTTCTATCATAATTCACCATTAAGGGTTATTTATATCACAATTATTGATCAATTAAATTGATCGTTGTTAAAATTATAAAATTGAGTTCTAAACTCATTAAAATCTTTGAATTCAAACATAAACAATTAAATCTTAGTTGGTATGAGAATCTGGGACAATAAAGTGACAAATGGAATTCATAGTTTACAGATGAAAGCCCTTCATCATCTCTTAAAGATTATCAACATTAGTCATTTTCAAAATTAGCAGTTTATTGATGCTATGTTTCTAAATCATTTTCTTTATATCATGGAGACTGGCTTTAACAGTTAAGAATTAAGTATCTGTTGACCTGATCATCCAATACATTGCTGTGTGCATTAAAACCTCACACCTGTATTCAAAAGGTGCYGTCTGTAATCAAAGTCAAAACAGTGGTCGGAAATATATAGCCCTCTGGCTTGTAGTAGTCATATTATTCATTCTTCCATTTGTTACTTTAGAGGGTAAACTATAAACRACTTCTTGCTATTTCCTATTGACAAGAAATTCCTAACGGAACTGCRAAATAAAGGAATAAATGAATAAGAGTTAAACGGGAAAAGTTAAACGTTCAAGGTCAATGYGATATGACGTTTGTTATGTACTACATTAACTTATCTTGTTTCTGCTCTTGTCTCTGGTCTTGTAATCTGAACCTTGACTGCTTGTTTGTTCTAATAAAAGCATTAAACTCACCTTACTGTTCTGTTCTTTGACTATTCATCCATTCTCATTCATTTATTCTCTTTCATTCTTTCACTCTTGTTCATTCACTCAATTCCTTATGCCTTCATTGCTTAAAAAATATGTGTTCATCCTTTCCATTCTTTCTAAATAATGCATTTTTTTCATTTTTTCATTCATTTTCCCATTCATTCATTCATTTATTGATTCCTTTCTTTATCCCTTTATTTTGTCTATAAKGTATTCATTTGTTTCTTTCTTCTTTTATTTATTTATCCATCCATTCATTTATTTTTTTGTTTGTTCATCGCCATGTCTCCTTCCGTCCATTCATCCTTTTTTCATTTCTTTATTATGCATTATTTTTCATTCTTATATTTCACTGCTATACTTTATTCTCCTTTTTCTTTAAATTTGTGATTTCAATTGAAATTTATTTCAGATTTTCATCTCATTCTTTAATCTAAAAAATTGATTTTTATCTTATCAGAATCCTCCATCTTATCCTTAATCCTACCCCTCTCTTAGACTTCCTCAAAATCATAAAATATAAATGATATTCAAGAAGCTTAGATCCTAAAACCCTCTAAAAACAAGACTAGAATAATGAAAATCACAAATCCTTTAAAGTGTCAGTACAATCTAAAGTAGGAAAGCCTAAAAAATTAGTAATTTCCTAAAAAAGATGCTTGAAAAGCAATTTCTCATGGATTATGTGACATTCATTTTAATTTCTGATGTTTGCTAGATTATTTTAATTACTGATCCTTCTCTTTGATTGGACGATAAGTTCATCATTTTGTGGTACCTACGGTTTTTGACAGCGAATACTAATTTCCAGTGTCGTTATTTATATTATTCCTATAGCACATCCTTTGAATATTTCCAGACAATAATCAATACATGCATAATACAGGCCATTGTCATATTGAAATTAGAATGTCTACGAATCCAAAAACATTATGATATAAGCTAGCATAAGAGTGTGTTTTTGTCAATTATGATTTCCTAAAATTTGCTCTAAAGTTACATGTACTGTGTAAATTACAAAGTAGATTGAATTACACGTCAGTAGAATAAGCTTGAAACTGCCATGTATACCATACAGTTTTCTATTATGACTAGCTGTTTCTAGCTATCAGGTGTATTGGYTCATTTATTGTTTTGACAGCACTGTAGGTCTTGTGACGCCACATATTATTGTAATACTGTACCTATGCAAATACATTTCTTTTCTAGCACTCTGGTTCACCAGATGGTCTCTACTTTAATTTATTAAAATATTGTAATGTTCACTAAGCATTTAAGCCTTTCTATCTACCTATTGTAAAGCCATAACATGACGTTATAATAATGCTATATAATTTTTCCTCATTTCTCTAGTTTTTCCTGTATGCTTTTCTTATAAAAGATGAAATTATAAGTTGGATTTTAACATAATATTTTAATAAAATATTAAAAGAGTGTGCTAAAAATGCTAAAAATTACTTCAAATGAAGTCAAAATAATGTAATCAATCTCAAACAAAGGTTTTCTTCTTTTCTGTTATTTTTCAGATATTTTTTTCCTATAAAACATTAACTAGCAACCATTTCAGACTAGGCTTTCTGCTTACAGCCCAAACATAGGAAAGCTTGTGTTTGCATATAATATTACAAAGTGTTTTTTTTTAGTGTTTTTTAGTGTTTTTTAGTTTTTTTTTTAGTGTTTTTTAGTGTTTTTTTAGTGTTTTTTAGTGTTTTTTAAGTGTTTTTTAGTGTTTTTTAGTGTTTTTTTTAGTGTTTTTTAGTGTTTTTTAGTGTTTTTTAGTGTTTTTTTAGTGTTTTTTAGT